GTTTCCCACTGGTTTCAGGTTTGCTTTCTCTGCTTCATCATTGGGGTTCTATCTACTGGCAGGGAGTGTCACATGCTGACAACTGGGATTCTTGTGCATTCTCAGAAGGAGTGCTTCTATGGAGACCATATCAATGGGTTGCGCCATGGGGAAGGATCTTACATATTTCCGAACCGTGTTTTCCGCTACCATGGAGATTGGCAAGGTGGTCAAAAGGAAGGTAGGTGCAAAAAATTCTGCAACCTTCTGACAAAGGAGTTCAAATTGAAATCCTCTTTGCAGTTTATCATTATCATAATGGTGTGTTTTTGTGCCCTTCTGACAGTGCTGTGAAACCTCTTTCCCATTTTCTGGTAATTTTCTTGCTTTGGCCACCTCTGCTTAGAATAGTATGACCGATGGGCAGGTTAAAACATAGAACGGGCACAGGCATGGGCCCTGGTAAGATAAGGGACCCCGGGGGCATATATGGAACGAGCGGACATTGCACAAGTATGTGCACCGGCTTCTGAATCAGTGATTTTTACATATTTGCCAGTGATACAAGCCTGAGAGATTACCTGGACGAAGAATCAATTCGCACAACACGACGACTGGGAGGATCTATAGGGTAACTCATCTTCTTGCGGCGAGGCCTTGCGAAACTTTTGCTGAAACTCGTTGATGTGATACCCACAGTAGACAGAGACGGTTTTTTTTTTTTTTTTTTTTTTTTTTCTGGCAGGAATTAGAGAAAGATTTTAGGTTGGGATCTATTCTTCCCTGAATCCCTGCATAGTGGATTTTCTAGAATTGGGGACCACATTCATGAAACATTGGGATATTATTAGTCTAGACTGGGATAACTATGCTATGCGGGAACTGCCAACTCGTATGATGGTTGTGGCCTGGGTTGACTTTTCAAGGCCCCCAGAACACAATGCACTCCCATTATGACTACATTCAACCGGAAAGATGGCATACATCTTTTTTTTTTTTGAAACAACGGCGGATGCGGCATGTTTTAAGTTCCTAAAGGCACGAAAAACAGGCCTTCGGCGACTGTGTCAGGGCCTGAGTTCGAAAAGGCGTTCGTAACTCAGGCCGGCAGTGGTGTCAGGGCGGAGGTTTCATTAATGCGGTTGTGTCTTTTTTTTTTCTTT